TTGCTGAGAAAACAGGCCGGTTTTCCAACAGAGATCTGGCACAAGGAAGATAAGTTATCGCAACACTTCAAATAGGCGAGAAGTGAGGACACTACGGCGACACAGCTCTAAGTAGGAACAAAAACTTCAAGAAATAGAACTATGAAAGGGAATGTAAATGGATCATGTGACTCGTATGTAGCCTGCATATCCGAATTCGGATGGGTCAGGGTAAATGAAGAATCAAATCAAATCAAATCAAAATCAACAATCGAAAACAGAGGGGAAAAGCATTGGATAGGAATCGAAGAGCTTGGAAAACGAGTAGATCATCTGCAGCAGGTGGAAACGCGCTATTGTTGATGTGAGCGGCCTATAGTAACTGGATTCCAGCTATCTAGTCCAGGTGCTATCTACAACCAAGATGAGGAGAGAGAAGGAAGGAAAAAGACTCAATCCTATGAGTCTTAAGGCTCTTTAAGCACTAGCCTGCATTAGAGCTAACCCCCCTTTGTAGTGCATAGTGGCGCAGCCCTAGTATAGGCATAGCCTGTTACACGAAAGCTCTATGACATGAAAACATGCCCTTAAGCGAACCTGCTAGCTTAACTACATACGGGCCACTCATGGCTAAAGAGCTATAGGAAAAGGTTTGGTAAAACCCAGGACGATAGCTGTGAATGCGGAGCGAGAGAGACACTGGCACATGTGTTTCTTGACTGCCCAACTCTTCGAGGGCTACGACAACGACTGCGGAGGAGGATAGGACCCCATCTTAATAGCTTATCATCTTTTATATCAGAGGATATAGTAGATGGAGAACTATATGCTATACTTGAATTTGCTGAAAAGTCTGGCAGATTTTGTAACAGAGACCTTTCATAATAAAGCTCGGTCACCTTAACACTACAAATAGGATGAGAGAAGAGGTTACTACAGAAAGACAACTCTAAGCAGGAACCAAACTTCAGGAAATAGATCCATAAAGAGGAATGCAAATAGATCACATGACTTGTATGTAGCCTGCATATCCTAACTAGGATGGTTCAGGGTAAATGACAATTCAAATCAAATCAAATCAATCTATAATAATATCCAATGAAATATAATATCATAAGAACAAACTTTCATCAGAAGTATATCTATTTATACTATTTTCCACTTCCTTTTGCTTCCTTGAACGCTGCACATCAGCAAATCTTAAGCACTACCTAGCTTAGGCTGGTCTTTCAGTGCGACACTGGTTTAATTTCGGCTTAGTCGTTGCTCAGCTTGCACCGCCACTGCTCTGGATGCTCGCTTTCAACTCACTCTTCCATCCAAATCTCGTTAGCTAATTAGCTCCAATTGTAGAGAGTGATAGAAAATCCTTACTATGATTCTCTGTTAGCTCTACGCGAATACGTTTCCAGTGGTGAGCTGGCAACAAAGCCCAAAAATAGGCAACATTTACCCAGAACTCCCAGCGTACTGTATCTCCCGGTTCACCCCCCCCCCCCCCCCCCCCCCCCCCCCCCCCCCCAACACACACACACCCACGAGCGGACGCTAATGACGCCTGCGTCCTGGTGCATGCGCCATTTTCGCTTGGGTCAACGACATCCAAAGTTATGTTAATAGATTTGTTGCAACGAAGAAAGCGTCGAGGTCAGCAAGTGTCATCGGCGCTTTGATCATCCTCTGTAAATGACGAGCCTTAACACAGGTATCAGTGCAAGGCACTGTGATAATTGTCGACATGGGCCCTTTGGTCAAATGGCATCTCAATCCGGCGAGACCAGTAGATGCAGCAAGAAGGCACATCGGTCTCGAGGAACAGTATCGAAAGGATGAAGCTTGCGTAAAGACGTTCAAATCCGGCTCATGGACTCCAAAGGATGAGCGATGCGCGATAAATGGTACACATTGTCTATAAGAACTATGGATGGCTATCACACCTCTGAAGTGTCTTTGCTATAGCCTATCGGAACGGAAGTTTCGGAGAAATCTTCTCCATTTTGTCTCAAGTTTTCCCACTGAGTTGTTGTTTTCTGCGCGTTGTTGCTGAGAGGTACTCGAAATACAGGTCCACCTGTCTAGAGCTGTGCCGAAAACTGAATAGAGACACCAATCGATGCTCTTTCGTCGAGCATATCGCGCTCGTGCGGCCTTGGATATGATCCCTACCTCGTCTCACGAAATGTCTCGCGCTCGTGATACTGCATCCTAATACACCACGTCGATACCGCTCCAAGACTGAGCAATGCAATCTATGCAATGCCACAAACAACCAATACTTTCTTGATGACATGCGAAGTAGTCCTTGACTCTCTCTGCCGGAATATTTACGAAAATATATGCATGAGAGTAGAGCTGGAGGGGTCTTCGTTGGCATTCCAAGTGCTGCGACCAGAGGCAAAAATATCCGAATTCGATTTTATCAAGGGTAGCGTGCGTCAAATTCCTTACTTTTTCTATATGTTTCGAAAATAGATCGAAAACTATTTATCACACGGCAGGAAACTTGACAATATCAAACCAGAGCAACCTAAAGTAGTTTTTCAAGAGCAAATGGTCGCTTGATCGAATTCGATGTTCCTTTCGTGTTTAGGTGATCCTGTCAGCAGTTGCTCAAGCCATTGCAGCTGTTCCTGTTGTGCTGCCAGCCATTCCGCTGTGTGACCTCTGATCGGCTCCAAGCCCGCCCTGAGCAGAGCGGGATTTACCCAGTTCAACAACTCGTTGACATATTCAACCTCAACCCCCTTGAGAGAGTGGAACTGCTTTCCAGCACCCTTCTGGTCCAACTTTTTGTTATATTCCTCCCGCATCTCCTCCCGTGATGGCAGATGGGCAATATCTGCTAGCACCACAGCTAGGACCTGCGCCTGGAAATCAAAAAGCGAGAAGTTGGCAGTATAATATGGCACTCCGATGAACGACAAGCTTGGATCCTGGATGTAGAAGATGTCCTTGTGCAAGTTGTGATACATGGTACCATCGGTGACAACTATGTCCCTGGATGCTTTGTCCACGGGCATAGAGTCGTCGTGGAACTGTGACAGGTACGGTAAGCTGATGTGGTAGCCGGTGCATAGTATTACGACATCAACCTCGCAGATAATGCCACCCGAAACCAAATGGAAGCGGGATGCCAATGGCAACCCTGTACCATCGACATGCTCAATCTTAACTACCTCTGGTACATGCGTCACTCCCTCGGGAAAACACATCAGCGGGACATCAAAACGGCCACCGCGACCGCTCTGAAACACACGGGCAGCAACAACCACGGCATCCCGAGCGATATCAACAGCCGAGGCACCAGTTCCAATCAACAGGACGTTCTTTCCACGTAGTCTCTCTGGCCCACGATAAGCCTTCGAATGAGAAACGTGCTCAGGGTAGCGCTGCCTGAGTTCCTTCAAGCCTGGAATGTCTGGAATTCGCGGAGCATGGTAGTGCCCTGTCGCCACGACCACCGCATCAAAGAGGTCTGATTGGCTCTGACTACTAGAGTTCAGGCTATCTCTTCGACGAGGCTTGCTCAGCAATTCCCATTTCTTTCCGGTTTTCTGGACTTTTACGATAGTTGTCTTGAAGTGAATATGCTGATCAACGCTGTATTCACGAGACAAGGCCTGGATGTATTGTCGCATGACATCGTGCGTTGTTATGTCAGGTGTTCCCGGCGGCCAGTCATACAGGCTCGTTTTCATCAAACGCGTCCAGACGTTGTTTCGAAGCCCAGGATGACATGGTCTACGCTGTACTGTCTTAGTGTACACTTGGAGATTGACATTTGCGCATTAGCTCACCCAGGTATATCATTTGCGGCCACTGCGTCATCGAAAGCTTCACCTTTTGAGGGATTGACAGCCGGCCAAGCAACTTCTGGCGGCTGGTTTTCGTTATACACCCTTATGTACATTAGTATACAGCTATAGCAATATCAGGACACTTGGAACTTACCATACTCCGCCTACTGTAGAGTTCCTCTCGAAAACAGTGACTGCAATCCCTCTTTTGAGCAAATGACACGCACTCACGACACCACTGATACCTGCCCCAATGATAGCGACCTGCTTTTTGCTTTTTGCTTGCATTGTTTTTAGGAAGTTGGTGATCTTCAAGGGCAGAGAGTATCAGAAGTGTAACGTAACCCATTAATGTTGCTCAGCGGCTCCCGGCTGTCTGTAAATCATTTTCTGTTGGCCTCCGTCTTGTCATCCGGGTAAGGCGATGGTTACTCAAACTAGCTTAGCGGCGGTGCCAAAGTCGATTCCGTTAGTATTGCGCAACTTTGACTCCACATCGTGCAATACTCATGTATCCGCAACCACCATCCCAACTCACTAAGATAATGCAGCTGCTACTCGTATTCATTGGACCAACTTGCAGTTGAGGACATTATTAATCAAAGTTAGTGCAGTCTTTATCCGACAGGTATACCGTCGCGTTGTACTCGTGGCGGGGTATCCGCTATCGCTTGTGCATGTAAGCTCTATACGGCACGATGGCGTGCCTCAAGCAGCTGGGCTGGCGCTCGAGTAGAAAAAGAAGTCGCAGCGCAGCCTGAAACTACACCATTACAACTTAACACAGTCTTTCTCTCCATCCAGTCATCTCATCAATCAATCATGACTCCAATTGCCATTGACCCAGCAATCAAAGATGTCGAAGAACCGCGAAAGGATACTCTAGGAATTCCTGATGCTGCTCGTCAACGATTGGAAAAGGCTGGAATTGATCTTTCCGCTGGATACCCTTACCGTCCTCTGAAACCGCTTTACCTGGATGACGTGTACAACATCCGGAGCAAAGATCGCGAATACGTCGATGCTGGATCCAGAGCTGACCCGGAGAAGAAGGCTCTACTATCAGCAGCATCAGAAGTCATTCATCTTACCAACTACATCGGTACCGAGATCCGTGGCCTGCAGCTGAAAGACTTGACGGATCAGCAAAAAGATGAATTGGCTTTGCTGATTGCTGAACGTAGCGTAGTGTTCTTCCGGGATCAGGACATCACTCCACAGCAGCAGCGTGAGCTCGGCGAATACTATGGAGAAGTTGAGGTTCACGTAGGTGTATTCAAATACTATCACAACGTGTCCATTAATAGAAATAATGCAGCCTCAAGTGGCCCAGGTACCTGGCGTCGTTGGTGTCACCGTTATTTGGCCTGACTTACAAGCCACTGAAAGGGCGGCGAATTTCCGCAATCCGGGTGGTGCTTCAAGATGGCACACAGACCTAGTGCATGAGCATCAACCCGCAGGTATAACCCACTTGCACAACGACACTGTGCCAACCGTTGGTGGAGATACACTTTGGGCATCTGGTTACGCAGCGTACGAAAAGCTCTCTCCGGCTTTTCGGAAACTCATTGACGGCAAGACCGCCATTTACCGATCGGCTCATCCATATCTAGCACGCAGCAAAGAACACGAAGGCCCTAAGTATGTTGAGCGTGAGCACCCGCTTGTACGTGTGCACCCGGCAACCGGCTGGAAAGCTCTTTGGGTTAATCGCGCGATGACTGACCGTATTGTCGGTTTTGACAAACCTGAGAGTGACGTGATTCTGGGCTACTTGTGCGATGTGTATGAACGAAACGTGGACATCCAGGTACGATTCAAGTGGACACCACGGACGTCTGCTCTCTGGGATAATCGTATCACGATCCACAATGCTAGTTGGGATTATGCAGGAAGCGAGCCTCGTCACGGAACAAGGGTAACATCGCTTGCTGAGAAGCCTTTCTTCAAGGCGGATGCACCGACGAGAAGAGAAGCTCTGGGCCTGCTCGGCGACGACGAGAAGAAGGAGTTGGCATCGGCCTAAACCAGAAGCGCCTTAGCAAACAATCTGAGCTACAACGCTGTCTCTATAAGCAAATAACAATTCAGTGTTTTTAACAACTCGTGCTTGACTCAGTTAGGGTGTAACAAGTCCCCATCTAAGGTCGTGGTATGAATCGTGTCGGCCAACCGAATTGGTAGAATGTCAGCACGCAATATCAGCCTTGTAAGAGGCAAGAATAGCACCACAATCAACCATGCCTAAAGGCCTAAAAAGGTCGAACTAGCGTCTTCCTCTGATAGCGAACACTAATGCCGACAATACAATCGTCTCCTTGAGGAAGATTATCATGCCCAGCTGTACATTGCACCATTTGAGGCGCAGATGAGCACTGCTTTGTTAACTCGGTTCCTTTAGCCCTAGATGCATTGACGTCAATGATGTTCCGCGACTACAAAATGCAGCTGCTGCGTTGGTTTAGGAAAGCTCGTGCACCTAGCACTTCATATTTGGGTCGATATCATCTTTTACCGATCATGACTACCAGCAAAGCCACAGAGGAAGCCTTAGCGCACCCTGCCGAGACTATTGAGGAGAAACCGAAACGAAGATGGGTTTCGTACATTTGGGATACGCTTGACAAAAGTCCGGAGGAAAGACGCTTCCTATTCAAGCTTGATGCGGCGATCTTGACCTTCGCATCCTTGGGTTACTTCATCAAATATCTAGACCAAGTCAACATCAATAACGCCTTCGTTTCTGGAATGAAGGAGGACCTTGGTCTTTATGGAAATCAGCTCAACTACATGCAAACATGTTGGACTGTAGGATACGTGATCGGAGAGATTCCAAGCAACTTGATTCTTACGAGGATTCGACCACGTTACTGGATTCCAACGATGGAATTGATTTGGGGCGTCCTGACGTTCAGTCTCAGTCGGAAAGAGAGCGCTCGCACGTATGTTTATTACAATGCAAGCAAGACATTAGCTTATTCATCTAGAATCTACATCCTTCGATTCTTCGTTGGGCTCGCTGAGAGCACGTTCTGTGGTAAGAAGTCTCTTAAGAGCACAGCTTGATTTTGGCTAATCAACCAGTAGAGTACGATCCAACCTGAGACGAGGGATCTAGCACCAATTATCGGCACTGGCTCGTTATCTAAGCTCTGGCTCCGGTGCCGTAATTTGCTTCTCACCGTTGCAGTGAGTGATCGTCAAGTGCTAACATCGCCATCAGACCCAGGCATGCAATATATCATCGGCAGCTGGTACCGCAAAGATGAGCTTGCAAAGCGCTCATGTATATTCCACACGAGTAGTGCCATCGGTAGCATGTTCTCTGGATATCTCATGGCAGCCGTATACAAGCTTAACGGAAGGTATGGCTTTCGAGGTTGGCAATGGCTCTTCATCGTTGATGGGGCAATTACATTACCAGTCGCTCTGGCTGGGTATTTTGTGCTCCCAGATGTACCAGAGATCGCGAAGCCATGGTATCTGACGAAGGAAGAGATTGCATTCGCACAGAAGCGTATGCAGCTCGAAGGCCGTAAAGGCAGGGCGCCGTACACCAAAGCGAAGATCAAGAGGATATTCAGCACCTGGCACATATACCTACTAACCTTACTCTATGTGTAAGTATTTCCTTCATTTCCCAAAGTCATATGCTCACGCAGCAGGAAAGCACTTTCAACAATGGCAATCCAGCAAGTGCTCAGCCTGTTTTTGCACAGTATCTGAAGGCATCAAAACATCCAAAGTACACTGTGCCTCAGATTAACTCCTATCCTACAACCACGTATGCCGTACAGGTTGTTACAACACTCACATATGCCTGGACATCCGACTCAGTCTTGAAAGGTGAACGATGGCCACCCATCATCTTCGGCGGAATCATGAACATCATTACAGCCGCATCGTTGGCGATTTGGAATATTCCACATGGTTGGCATTGGGCTTGCTACATCCTGGCTGGTTGTGGTGGCGGGCTCAGTGGTCTCATCATGGCATGGGCGCACGAGATCTGTTCCGACGATAACGAAGAACGTGCTCTTGTGATTGCCACCATGAACGAAATCGCGTACGTCTTCCAAGCATGGCTGCCACTTATCATATGGAAACAAGTCGAGGCACCTAGGTACCACAAAGGATTCACCGGTGTTACGGTCATATCTGCAGTTTTGATTATCACCGCTCTGGTGGTGAAATACTTGCATAGGAGGGAGTCATTGAAGAAGGAGCAACAGAATGTCAATGGTCAATCTTATGGAAGCAACGATGAGATTGAGGAGACGATTGCAGTATATCATGATAACAAGAGGAGCTGATGTTAGCCCACTCCTTGTGTGCAGTGAGTAAATAGCCGATTATAAACCGCTCCTTGTTCCCTAGCTGCATCTATCGCCTGTCATGTAACCCACATGTAGAAAATTTGACAATAAAACTGTGGATAGCGTCACTCATGAGCTCACTCTTGTACATGGCAACGTCTTTGAGTCGCTACTTTTGTACATGAAGAAAATTTTTGCACAGCTTACACGGCACGCGATGAATTATCTCTCGAGGATTGAAGCACGATGATAAGCGGAAATCCATCAAAAATGAGAGAGAAGGATAGAGCTATGAATTCGCGCATTCCGGTTCGATGCGACCAATGGCTTGATCATAGCCACAGCATAAACTCCTAGAGCTTGATTGCGCAGGCTTTGTTCAGTCATAGCACGAAGATATAGCAGCTATGTGTATAGGCAAAAAAAGTAAATGTGCTGTGCACAGCGACCTCGTTGGCTCCGTCTTTCGGACTATAGCTCAATTTACTCCACCAACGTAGACGGAAAGTAGGCAAAGTTCTCAAATTTGTTATATGTTCGGTAGCTGTTCGTGCTACCGAGATAGCATCATAGCTTAAATATATATTCTCGGATCATCGGATCAGCGCTAATTAAGCATATCAATATATGCTGTTCGTGTTTTCGACATTACAAATTGTACATACCATCGACTGGGAAAGCCATCAGTTCGATTGGACGCACAGCAGCTATTTAAGACGAAGTCTGCCATCTACTTGGGACCATCTGGCAAGCGGAAGACGTGTTTCTTTTTGTAATAGTAAATACAGAGCTCTTTGGTCGTGATATTGAGATCCATATTTAGACAGACAATTAATTAATTGACAAGTTCATTCCTTCCCTGTCTTAGCCTCTGCCACATAATCACATTTCGATAGCACTGGGTAACTGATTGGATGTGGTCAAGTTTTCCAAAGCTTTCCAAGGACTGCACCACCCTCTATTGCTGAGGATGCCCCTGCGCAAGATAATGGAGCATTTGAGTGGTAGCTGTCCTCGAGAAAGATAATATTCGCGGACTCGTTCTTCCAAGTGCCAAGCTCATCGAGCTACATTAACTTCCACTTTTCAACATGATCAACATGACTAGGGAATCGATTTAGGACTGGGTCCCGATCTTGAAACAGAGCCCGCAATTCGCTTATGTTGCTGGTCTTGCTGATATTTGATGGCAGATCGTCCGGAACTCATAGGACCATGTTGTTGTCCAGATCTGAAGGAGTATGCCACAACATACGAACTTGGCTTGATCCAGAGGCAGAATGCGGGCTGTGTGATGAACTCTCGTCAATTTTTCTCTGCGACTTGGTCCAGGACAATTTAATGAGCCAGGTCTCCCGCCGCTCAAGGTTCAAATTTGCCCCAACTACGCTGTTCGACAAACAGATCTTAGACAGTCACAACCAACTACAAGATTACCTTTGTAGACTGTTCCAGATTGGCCAGTAAACTCGGCGGTCAAAACATCAATTGACTGGACTGATTCTCCAAAAATGACCTTTATACCTAGTACTGGTGGCATGCAAAGAGCATGGGAACGTACGTCCAGTGCCAGGGCAATTATTTGCGGGGCTCAATCAGCTTGTCGGACCATGTATCGATGCCATAGCGACACTATGGGTTGTAATCCACACAAGCGGCATATTTTCAAAACCTCAATCTGCAAAAGTCGTAAGAAGTTGCTTAAAAGACATTATCGAGGCTGCGGAAATGAGTGATTTTGATGCTTCAATAAATATATCGCCAAGTATCGAAGACGCAAGCGTATTCAAAGTTGCAAGAGTAAAGATTGTTCAATATTTCAAGGCAACGGGTTTGGTGCGCCGTGATATCACCAGGTTGTAAGCATTACCTTTGTGGCTAGTAATTTCGGAGCACCAATATGCATAGATGGGTTCCAAGGCTCCTAGGGGTGGTGCTAACATTCCATGCGTGCTATAGCAATTTGGAAATTTCCAATTCAATATATTCAATTCACTGATGGTAACATGTTTGCATATCTAGCAATCGCTTCCGCAACGGCTCCAACTGTCGTCTGTGCTTCGAGAATTCTCTCTTAACAACAACTCTGGCCATGGATTTCAGTTCAAGGGCACTATGACCCGACCAACGTAAATACTTCGACCAAGCCACCTGTTAATCCGAAAAGACCGTAGATGCGGCAATAGAGCGCCTCAGTCTTAGAGAAGGGCATTCAAGCGCAGATGAAGCTTGCGTGAAGACGGTTTAATTCTGTTCATGTAGTCCAAAAGATGAGCGGCAAGCGGCAGGCGTTACACCTAAGTATTATGGCTATTATATCTCTTATTCGTCGTTGCCATCGAGTCAGTCAAGCGACCTTTGCGAACGAGTCGCTCCTAGTTAGCACAATGAAGCAAGTCACGAAGGCGACTACGACATTGACCGTAGCCTCGTCCACCATCAAGATACCCTCGTCTGAGAAGGCGTGTTTCGCTGCGTACTCCCCAACTTTGACCTTCTGCTGACCCCGGACTTTGGTACAGTACCTTTTGCTTCTGGCTGCTTGGTGCATCTTCCCAAAAGTACACCGTGTTGTCTTTGATGAAGGTCTCCGACTTGCGAGCGATACCGACTGAATGAACTTGAAGAAAGTGGCTGAATTATGGAGATCCGGGTGGGAAAATCGCTTTGCGGACGTTGTGCGTGAAGATTGCGCCTGTGATCTTGCAAATCTCGTCACTCCCGCTGGTTACCATGTGGACCGGACGGATGATTGAGTTGCGTGTAAGCTTGAATATCGTCCAGGGCTTGCTTGACGCTGCCTCCTTGGCCGTTTTCATGTGGTGGTACTCGAATGGGAGATCGAGCTGCTGTAGAATGGTACTAATGTCTGTCCTTGTGGCGCCTCCTCGCGCTTGGTGAACCCAGTATGCTTTCAGCGGCACGAATGATGCATTATCAGCCACGGGGTATTGTTCGGGCTTCAGAGCGGTCATGATTGTTCAGCTCAGCTATTGAAATGCGGGTTCCGGGGTTTTGATCGATGGTTAGTGCGTCTTTTGCACTCAAGACGACTCCGTACCATTTATGTCTATCATGCTGTCAGTTTGTTGCATGTGGGTGCCTAGCTAAGCTAAGCCATGCAAAGGAATCGCTGTTATGCAGGGTACAAGAAGGAAAAAGGAAGCGATTGTCATGCAAAAGGTTGCATTGATTGTATGAAGGATTGGATTGTTATTGTTCGGTTTCCATCCTGAAGCAGCTTGTAGATATGTAAAAAGCGCCACTTCGAGAGATCAATGCTGGCAAGGAAGTTGGCAATCAGAGAGCGTCAGAGTGAACTGGCACGGATAAACCACGGAGCTCCCGATCGGAATGGTCATGCTACTCGTTCTAGGTCTATATTTCATGACGCCTGTGCGAGGTATGTACGAGCCAACGATGACGTTCAATGAGTTGTCGAGCCATTTTGAACGCGGTCTTGAGGCGGACTCTAGATGGACTGTCATTGCGGCACAAACCAGCTGTCTCATCGCTTGACAAGATCCACGGTCGCCAGCACCTGAATCGTCCACCAGTGAACAAGACTTTGAGAAAAGAAGTACGTGAGTTCCCTCCTCCAACTTCTATGACCTCGTCTGGCTGCTTCGCTATACAAGAATCGCAAGCAATTGTGTGGAATCGACAATTCGGTTGCCGATGATCGCTTAATCAAAAGCGATTCTTGGCATCTGCGGAGTTTGCTGCTGAAAGGCAGAGTTATCAAGCAACATCATTGGGGAGGTCAGTGTACGCAGATGAGGTCTGTTGATTCTGAGCCAAAACCTACATTTAGGCGGAGAGATCGTTTTGAGCCGGGCACAATGAGGCATCTGTCTGCCGTTAGGGCTTCAACGCTTTCTCCTCGACGTACACGATGAGATTTAAGCTACTTCTCGGACAACTCAAATACACCAAGCTCTCAAACGACGAGAGATGAAGATTCTGTAAATTTTAACGACCCACGCTTTATAACCCTGCTTGAAGTCAGGGACACTTTCATGCGTAGCTCTGTTGGCGTAAGTGAAAAGGGAATTACGGAGGATAACAAGAGTCTTCGTGCAACCTTACTAGAGACAGACTAACTCATCCACCTCAACTCTCTATTTGACGATAATGTGTTCAGCAAGGCCTGCGACAGGATAGATATCCGCAACGAAGCCATGATTATACAGGACCTCGCGATCGGTCAGTTACTCTTTCCATCAGCTGAGGCTCTAGCGGCATATAATCCCAGACTCGAATGTCTTATTGAAAGTGTCCGGGAGGCGTGGGGGAATGCCGTCCCTTTGATCGATACTTATCCGAGCCTGACTAATTCGTGGGCTTCAAATGCGAGGCATACATATGACACCAATTTAGAAAACGGTCACCTTTTGCTGGCGACATCATTGTCGGCGATCACGTCTTCAAGACAACGTACCATATGCACCTCCCGTTGCTAGCGTGTGAAGTGACATCCGGTACTGCAGCGCTTGATGTCGCACACTGGCAGAATGCTCATAGCATGACCCTTACGGTCAGAGCGATTGTCGAGCCTTTTTCGACTTTTGAAGCGTGAAAGTGAGCCCAATAGAAAGATCTTGGCCTTTTCCATCTCTCGTGACAACCGATCGGTGAGGATGTATAGCCACTACCCTGTGATCGAAGGAAAAGACACCACCTTCTACCGAGATACGATCCACGAGTGCAGCTTCCAAGAATTAGACAGAAAAGAGAAGTGGACGTCATACAAGTTCACGAAGAAAGTCGCCAACACAGGGACGTCCATGCACTTGGAGAGAATTCGATCTACCCATTTACGAGCTCCCGTCTGATTCCGACTTGGAGGCCACGATAGTCTCGAATCATTCCAGACGCTCTCAAGGGACGGAAAGTCATCATCTCTTGGAAACTTTCACGGAGCAACAATCCTTACCACCGGATCACGACAGTACACCTGGCATCATTGACGCAGGAGGCATCAGGGTGAAAACCTTGCTTACAGGACAAGGGCATCAATAAAGCCTTGAAAAACGTATGCGAAACACGTAGTCACGACCGCAAAGCAATCTCAGCATATTTTTTTTTTTTGGAACATTTTTTACTCACCCAAGCTGCCTGCGCGAAACTGGCAATGGGCGAATGCAGCTCATTCGTCTTCCAAGAGGAATTCTTTGCCAAATTTCTCCCTCTGGCGAAAATTCCGATAAAGCCCGGTAAAAAGAATCTTTAATCGCTGCTACGCCCAAAGCAATGGTTACACCATACAATGCACTGGGATCGGATGACGCGTCGCCACTCTTTCGTAGCATGTGCTGCTCCGATAAATGGTGCCTAGGTCAGCTTTCGATGATAGAATTTAAATCTTGTCAGAGAAAGATGAGTGGTTAGGACGGTTCCCAACCTGGACACGGAGCACGTCGCAGGATCTCCCACAGCACATGAGAGGCGTCATTTTGTTTGCCTCGGCTAACCCGGAAGTCCAATTAATAGAAATAGTTTTCAGAGCCTAGGCCAAGCACTCTTCAGATTAGGGAGTGCAGAGCAAGTTCGTGCAATATTTCTTCGTGGGTAAACTGCTTTCGTTCTTGCCCTCTTCGCGAAACGCTTGATCTTGATGCACTACACTAGCTAGTACTTACGCCATGTAAAAGTGAGATAGATTTTACACGAGTCGCATGGTTGCGAAGCAAGTTATCCTGTCCATAGGCTACTGTAAACTTCTAAAGTATGGTGGATGGCGAACAATGAGGTGGTTCGACCTGCACGACGTGTCACCCAACTCGGGGAAAGCGATCCGACCGCTGACATTCGGAACAATTATCAGCGAACGTCCACAGGCTTTGCACCCTGCACATTACCCCAGCTTTCCGAACTGCGATGCGCGATCTTCGGAGAATGATCGCGCGATAACTTTTATATTTCTCACTCTGCCTATATCAGCGCCCTTTGGAGCTTATCGAAGAATAGATCGCGTGTAGTAACAATGTCGAAAGTGCTTGACTACAAGGAAGGTACCGCTCCCCCGCGTTCCAAGGAAGAGACTGAGCCAACAAGCTACCAGTATCGACCCACAGATCCGCAGACTCGTGCTGGGTAATCCTGTACGGTAAAGTGTACGACGTCACCTCATTTCTATCGAGTCACCCCGGTGGCTCCAAAGTTATCCTCCGACTCGCTGGCACCGATGCCACGGAGGAATACGATCCGATACACCCTCCAGGCACGCTTGAGGATGCTTTGCCCGCCTCAGCATGTCTGGGTACGGTAGATGAAGCCACATTGCCGAAGGCAGAGAAAGCGCCTGCACGCAACGAAATAGACGAGGAGAGATTGCCGACGCTGGAAGAGTGCCTGAATTTGGATGACATAGAGGCATTGGCGACCAGAAAGATTTCTAAAAAAGCTTGGGCATACTACTTTTCCGCCGCCGATGACCTATTTTCCAAGTCTTTCAACAATACCGCATACCGCAAGATCCTGCTACGACCCCGCGTGTTTGTCGATTGCGTCAAATGCGATACATCCACCACATTCCTTGGACACAGGGTTGGGTTGCCAATATATGTCTCGCCTGCCGCCATGGCGCGGCTGGGTCATCCGGATGGCGAACATGGCATAGCAAAGGCATGTGCAAAGTACGGCGCTATGCAGCTCATCTCGAACAATGCGAGTCAGCGGCCAGAAGAGATTGTCGCCGGAGCAGGGCCGGACCAGATCTTTGGCTGGCAACTGTACGTCCAGGACGAGCGCCAAAAGTCCGAGAAGATGCTGCAGAGAATCAACAAACTTCACAGCATCAAATTTGTTTGTCTAACTCTGGATGCGCCCGTTCCGGGGAAACGCGAGCACGATGAGCGAGAGGGAATGAACATAGCGGCGAAGTTGCCGGTGACTTCGGCCGTCAGAAACGAAGCGGACTACGACGCCGAGGGTCTGGGTTCGTCGTCAGGACCGGTGGGAAAAGCAATGTTCGCTGGCACGGCCGCCGACTTGACTTGGAAGAACACCATGCCATGGCTAGCCCGGCATACGAAGCTGCCCATCGTGCTGAAGGGCATTCAGACGCACGAGGACGCGTACCTAGCCTCGTTACATTTCCCACAAGTTCGCGCCATCATTCTCAGCAATCACGGCGGACGAGCCATGGACACCGCTCCACCAGCCGTGCACACCTTGATGGAGATCAGAAAATACTGCCCCGAAGTGTTCGAGAAGCTCGAGGTGTGGGTGGACGGGGGAATCAAGAGGGGAACGGATGTAGTCAAGGCTCTGGCGTTGGGTGCAAAGGGCGTCGGAATCGGACGCGCTCCTTTGTTCGGGCTCGGCGCAGGGGGCACGGCGGGAGTGGAACGGGTGCTCAACATCTTGAAGGCGGAGACGGAGACGGCCATGAGACTGTTGGGCGTCGAGAAGGTCGAGGAGCTGGGCATGCGCCATGTGAGTACACCCTGGAAAACCCGTGCTTTGCGTTCGACACAGCTGATCGTGACGCAGATCAACGCGCGAGCGTTAGAGGGCGAGATCTACGACGGCCCTGCAGGCTTGTCTGCAGACTATTTGGGAAAGATTCAATCGAAGCTGTAGCTTAAAGAAGCGTTCTGCGCTGGAGCCAACATGCAAAGACGTGGAACAGTTCATTCGCAACACGCTAATCTGATCGACCACCTGGCTGATTTCATGAGGCAGGCTAGTGGGTCTGCGGATTCAATTTTGATTGCGGCTGTCTTGACTCTGTGCTCTTTGTCGCGCGCAGGACCAATCTTTGTAGGTATAATCTCAGCTTGAAATGCTGCTTGCCTATGCGGCTTTGTGGAACCACACGTGATAGATCGGTCGAACAATCTCAGCTCGTTCGGATACGGTTCGAACACAAATGATTCTATTTTTGATGAACATCTACGGCGGCCTCAATGAAGACTTTCTGCCTATGATCGTCTGGATAGATCGAGTGCAGATCAGATGCAGTTCATCAGGCATTGATCGCTGAAGCTTTGACTAGCGAGGATGGAATGGATCTGCGAACGGAGAGGATGGAATGGATCTGCGAACGGAGAAGAAAAAAATCCGGTATCGCGACATTGAATCACAGGAGCAGTTCGCCAAATTTCATCAATCTTGAACATCTTCATGACCATCATGAACATGGCCCATTGCTCTGATATACGCTCGTCGAGTGACGTTCGTGGTCAGAACAATTAAGTTAGCTGCTTGTAGCACGTGAGTGATGGTTCTCCAACCAAGTTAGTTCTACCGCGTTGCCGGTTTGGCGTCGATAACGGCGGAGTGACGGCGGGCTGAGTAAAAAAAGCCCCATTGTGGCCTCATCGGTTCTATCGGTGTGGTCTTCGCGAGCGAAAGATCGTGTCGCTAAAGAACATGTGCTGTCAAGCAGGCACATTACTGGCTCTCTCTGCAGCTCCGCCAAGTCAAACTGAGCATCTGGACATGCACTCGGCTGAGGCCAAGGCTCTTCTACACGTCGACTCAGCCTCGCGCGACCGTGGCCGTCGCGTGTATGCCGTTGCTGCGACTCAGCAGGGCGGGGATGTTCTCCCGTGCAGCTCGATAAGCATGCTTCTATCTTCTGTCTGTGAACCCTCTTACCCTATGCTTCCCTGTTCGTCCGTTTCCGTTTCGTTGCAAGCATGGTAGAGCCGTTCTCACTTGCGGTCAACGTTATACAGATCATATCCGCGTGCGCTTCCACCATCAAAGCCATCGACCATCTCATCCAGCAGTATGCGGACGCTTCGACGAAGCTGAAGTCCTTATCTGCGAAAGCCAGCCTGGTCAAGGTAACGCTGAATGAACTCAGCAAAGCCCTCACGGGTCAAGACTCGTTCTTCGCGAAAAAGATCGAGGACGATGCGGAGCTCAAGGGCGCCATCGACCAGACCTTGACGGGATGCTGGACCGTGTTTCTCCTTCTCCAGAAGGAGCTTGGGAAGTGGATGCCAGACAAAGCAAAGGACGCCAACTTCAAACAAAGAGCAGGTCTGCTGTTCAACGACGAGATCATCCAGGACTATCGAAGCCAAATAGAGGGCCATGTAGAAGGGCTGAAGACAGTCTTGGTGTGCCTTCAAGCGTGAGTGTTGCCATTGTTCAAGCCTTGGTAAAGCTTGACGCTAAAATCAACAGAAAAACGGTGGCGGAGACTCACTCCACCCTCCAACATGCCAATGCGACCCTTGAGAAAATAGCGAATGCCACTCTCCAGATCCGCGAGGAGCACAAGGAAATGTGCTTCCCGGAGTCCGTGTACGAAGGCTACACGACATTTGAACAGGACAAGGAATTCGATGGTGCGCTGCTCAACAGTTCGGCGTACAGGGCGGCCTTCCAGACGGCGCGTAAGAACAGTTATCTGAGCGTTGGCGAGGTCTCTCCGGGTGCGACGTCCTCGCTGTCATCGATGGCTCGACGCCAGGCTCAGATGGACTTTCTGTCAGACCAAGTGCCCGAACAGCAGACCTGCGCGTCGGCAGAGGTGCATGGCCCACATGATCTGCTCAGCGCAGAAGCAATCGGTGATCTCATAAGTTTCGGTGACGATGACGACGAGTGGGAGGCTCAGCCGTCTACACCGTCAAACAGCGGGTTCAAGGACTTGGTTGGTCTTACTTGGGACACGAAATCGACGAATTCACATCTTCTTGACTCAAAGGAATCATTTTTGATAGCTGATGGTCAAACCGAAACGTCCTCTTCTCGAACGGGTGGACCTTCAGCTTCGCGGGCAGCATATACAGCTCATCCGGCATCCCATTTAGACTCTCTACTTGACGAACTGTTGAGCGACTCAACTGTTCAAAGCAAGAAGATTTCGCATGACAAACTTGGAGGTAGGAGAGACTCCGGCCAAGCGGAGGTTGATCAAGTTTCTAGCATCCAAAGTGAATCGGCCTTTCGAACCGTTCCCGTCATTGCGTCACACGCCGAGGGGGAGGTTGTCGAGTCCCCGCACGAAGGTCTGATTTCGGATCCAAAACGTGTTGAAGAAAAGATCCCCGTACTGGTCGATGGCGTTGCAGAAAGGCCGGAATCGTCTGCTTCCAGCGCTACTAACTGCGCAACCGTCTCGAGCCCAATCACCGGGTCGACCTTGAACTCACCTACCTTTAGCCAATCCATCCCATCGCCAATGTCCCCAGACCTGTCAGTTCGTCTAATACCAGTGGATCATCGCTTCAATAATCTACCAGACTACGTCCCTGAAGGGGATGAGCGTACACGTGAGCGTCTACTTGACGCTATGCTGCTATGCGCTCAGTCTCAGGATGCTGAAGAACAGCTCGCTTGGGCCGAAGACAGCCTGCGGTATTTGGCCGTGCAAGATTCTCACGAGAAACGCATAGCGGCATTGCAGGTTAAGAGGACGGAAGCCGAAATTTCAGAATCCAGTGGGGATACTTTGCTGCGTTTGGAGGCTTCCCGCATGGTTGACGACTTGAGGCGCATGGAGTTTGGCAAAGCTTACTTTCTAACTGCCAGGTACCTGACTGATGGGGAGGAGCGCGAGCATATGTTCCTTCTAGCCTTGAGTAAAGGCTATTATCGGTCGCAGTATTACCTGGGGCAGCTATCGGAGCAGCGAGGTGTATTGGGTGATGCTTTGATGAGATATCGAGCTGGAGGCGCTCATAACGATGCCGCCTGTCTACATGTGAGTTCAAGTGGAAGCTTTGATTGCGAGAGGCTGCCATCGTTGCCAACTACTCTTCCGGAGCTCTGCGTCTGATTCCGTAGAATATTTGCTAACTTTTGGACGTAGAGGTTAGCAGAAGCGCATTTCGACGGTCTGCTGGGCATCAAGAAGAACAAGGAAGAAGGTCTTCGCATTCTCAAATCTGCTGTCGCTACATCTGATAAGGACTATCCAAACGCGTTGCACGTGAGTTTACAACGAACATATTCATTTTGATTTCGCAACTGAGTTTGCCCAAAGCACCTGGCCACGCTTTACCTGGAGCCTTCAGGCTCGAAGTTGAAGGGCTTGAACACCAAGAGTTTGGTCCAGCTCAATGTTATTGAAGCGATGAATTTGTTGCGCAAAGCAGCACTTCTAGGTTATGGGCCTAGCCAACTTCGTCTCGGCCAAGTCCATCGTTGCGGCTACTTTGATCCTAAGGAAGCCAGAAAGGCCGAAAAGGCATCCACTAAAATCTCACGATCGGGTAGTAGATGGGGTAGACGGCGCTCATCAATGTCCACGACATCATCGGGGGGAGCATGCGATGCTCCTATCGATCCCATTCTTGCAATGCACTACTTGCACCTCGCTGCCCGCCGGGGACTACCTCAAGCTGACTACGAGATCGCGCACGATCTGCTCTGGAACAGTGGAAAACTGACAAGACAACAAGAGAAACTCGCTTACACGCACACGGTGCGAGCCCTACTGGGCGGTGTACACCTCGCGAACGGCTTGATGGGAAAGCTCTTAGAAGAAGGTATTGGCTGCAGGAAAGACGAGGTCGAGGCTGAAAAATATTACTTCAAGAGCAGCACGAAGGGGGACGACTGGGCGCGCGCGAGATCCGAGGCACTGCGGAACCGAGGCGTAGGCATTGACGGTGGAGTCCATGGATACAGTCGACCGTACAAGTAAACCGCTTCTGTGGGGTTTGTGAGACTCTTCCCCATCTTCACGCAAATGCTCTGACGTATCTTGGGTCTTTCAGTACAATGAAGCGCAATGATCGGGGCTTTTGGCCGCGGAAAATGCAGGGGTGCAGGTAGCTGCGGACGTCGCCGTGCGAGGTAGCCAGACGAAGATCTTCGTTCACACAAACACTTCGGCCTTGTGCAAAAACTTTGTCAATGGTAACTCGGGGGAAATTAACAAAGCCGCAAGCGCATATGGGCTTACGAGCAGCCTGACAAAGCTATGGTGCGACAAAGAACCAACGCAGCTTGAGGCATTGCGGCTGCTGTTGGAGAGTTGATCTTCTGGGAGGCAGGCCTCGAGATGTTCTAGGCAACATGCAAATACGCGTGACTTCAAGCACGACTTTGAAAGTTGCAAGTTAGCTTCGTGAGATGCTATATGAAGTATACTAAACTGTTGTAATCATAAAGTTGGCCTCAACCGTCAGGAGGACAAACGAAGCGGCGGTGTCGAGGCCAACAGTCGAAAGTGTCGTCGCCCAATCAGGCTTGCTACACTAGACGTGCAAGATATGATGCCGAGCGTGTAATTGTTTTTTTTTTTTTTTTTTCATTGATATTATTTGGAAAATTCTTTCTCCCTTTGGGCTTCTTCATTTATCGTTCAAAGGGAGTTGGCTGTTCTGCATTTGCGTTCTTGTGGACCATCGTTTGGGGAAGCGTCAACTTCCAAAGCCTCATCAGGTAGAAATGTATTTACCGTGAGTTCTGTGACCGGTGAGCAACGAGCTCGTTGCTCGATATGCTGCTGCGGTTTTGAATCCTTAACTCAGAATGCTTGAAACACGTTCACGCGTTGTGTCGCTGACATGCGTTTTGGAAATCGACTTTGCTCGCTGCAATTCACAGTGCTTCTTTTGTCCAAACTCATCATCGTTTGCGATTGTCGCCAGTTGAATTTCGATTCCAGAATCATTCGTCAAGGGTCTCAAATTCATTACTGTCGAAGTCACGCCTTGTGCTATGAAGAGGTAGGAGAGATATTGTTGGAGGCGGACAAGGACACACCGTTCCTAAAGCTATACAAGTGACCTCTTCTAATGGCATCCTGTAAGCTAGCACTTGAATCTTGAACATGTCGGTGGGAAGCGTGCGAACCACAAGGCAGGCAGAAATTGCTTTGCTCGAAACCATACATATATGTACTGAATGGAGTTAGGTGAGTCGATGAAGGAGGAATTTAGGTGAGAATTGTCCGCGTTGACGGAGTAATTTTGTTGTTTGACAAGAGAGTCCCAAATTGACCTCGTAGTAGTGTAAGGTCATTCATTTTTACTTGCCAATCTACGAATCAATTACATTCACACTCCGTAGGTTCAGGTGGAAAAGGCAAAGTGTGTCAGCCTTGTCAATCAACCAGCCTTCCACGTGCGTCGCGCTAGTTCTAACGTCGCGTCGTGTTGGGTGTTCCAACGTTTGGAGGAACATCAATCAGCCCGAGCTGTGGCCAGCGAACGGCGTCGCGAGACTCTTGCAATTCTCACAACGCACGCAATGCTACCAGAAGAGCTTTTGCTGCTGATTGACAAGCAATTCCCGTGCCGTGCGGTGCAGGTGCGCACTCTAGGGGCTCTCCTTTGCGTACGTTGGCAGTCCCACGACCGGCCTTTGCACTTGCGAACCAATTCGAGCTGACTCTTCGCCAGAATTCGACAGCGCGTCCACGAAATCTTGTTATCCATGGCCTCGAAGCGACCGGAAAGACTTTGATCACACGTGCTGTTCTGGAGACCCTGAAGATCCCGCATGCGGTTATCGATTCGAAAGAATGTATCACAGGACGACAATTGCTTGAGCAGACTGTCACTACTGCTGCAGGTGCAGTCGAGACGTACCATCATGCCAACCATGCTCATAACGGACGCTGCGAGAACCTCAACTCGCTATACGTACAGCTAAGCGCAATGCTGGAGGACGGCAAAGAACTCGTCCTAGTCTTTGACGGGATTGACCACCAGAGGGATGCCCCTCCAACTCTTATCCCTGCGCTGGCTAGGTTTGCAGAGACGGTATGGACACAAACAACTGCATGTTTCGCACTGTAGCATGACCATGCTAACGAGTTGAAAGATCTCTAGCCTTACGATTATCTTTATCCTCTCCGTTCCTTCGCCTCGATACTACCACTCTCCATTGATTCCGCATCTTCACTTCCCGCCATACTCCCGTGCCGAATCGATTCAAATTCTCTCACTTTCTCCCGAGAAAATATTTCCAGATGGTCTAGATCCCAATGCTGCGTACACGGCAGAACAAGCGGCTGAGGACGATGCCTACGTCTGGGGCCGATTCTGTGGGGTAGTCTGGGACACTTTGGCCAAAGGAGCCGCGCGAGACTTGATCAGCTTCAGGAGCACATGCAAAAAGTTGTGGAAGCCTTTCACAGCCCCAATTGTGGACGGAACGTTTGGTACACGAGACTTTGCACGTCTGATGGTCTCTCGACGTAGCCTTTTCCAGGACGACAGCGTGCTCGTGCACAATCTTGTTCCACGCGAGGTTCCTCAAAAAGAGACGGAGAAACGTGATACCACATCCTCGCGCACCATGATGCATGACCTCCCTTACTATGCGAAGTACATACTCTGTGCCGCCTACCTAGCATCCTTCAATCCGGCAAAGCAGGATCCGATCTTCTTCATGCGCACCGCCTCCTCGATAAAAAAACGCAAACGCGCCGCAGGTGCTTCAACGTCCAAATCCTCGAAACATCGCCGAATCCCTCGTTCTCTTCTTGCACCCTCTCCTTTTACCCTTGATCGCATGCTCGCTATCTTGCATGCTGTAGTTCCACACACCGTACCTCAAAGTTTAGATATCCTGGCACAGGTTGCGACGCTAGCGAGTTTAAGATTGATTGTTAGAGCCGGCGCAGGGGCAGCGAGTACTGGGGAGGTAGATGCCGGAAGTCGGTGGAGGATTAATTGTGCGTGGGACGTCGTGGTTGGTTTGGCAAGAGGCGTGGGGTTCGAGATCGGAGAATTCGTTGCGGGTGGGGAGTAATGAGTTAACTTCGGTGGTGTAACAGACCAGGCCCATGTTCAGGGCCATGCAACCATGCGCAAGAAGTATGTATAGTGCGAGGTTCGTGCTAAGAAGACTCGGAACCCATGCACCGAGTTCAGCTCCGGCCTTTTCTCCCCATGTTGGTGTGAGGGCAAGTATGTTATATGACCCAGCTATACCAGATCAACTAGCTGGTACAGCCTGTGCTTTGAGCTATCCTCGAGCACGAAGTCCGATTATATGAAGTTCCAGCTATCAGAGACTGCTCACGATGCCTGCCGACGAGCGAGCCAGGATGCGTGGTATTTGCAACTCGCGACAAGAAAGTTGGCTGTTATGTTGGCAGGTCAGGAAACAACTGAATTCCCGGAGCCATGAAAAAGAAAAGAGCCGTGTAGTTGCTTCAGAAGGCGCTATGTAATTAACCATACACCACAGACAATAAAGATACTAAGATCCTGATCAATGGTCATACTCTCCTCCTGGGAATTATGTAGGCGGGGAGTATATAGCTGTGAAAATATTATAAAATTAAATAAATTATCTTTCACTCCTGAACAAGTCAGAGGGAGACTTGACAAGGCTTGTAGGTGTGTACTTTTAAACTTCTTAGAGATGCTCATCTATTAAAAACCTGGTAGCAATAATATGGCTGATATTTTTTTAAGCTGATTTATAGGTCTAATTAGGGTGTCTGGTGTCCCACGGTACGGTTGTTACGAAGTAACATAGGAATCACGTGGAAGAAAAACGATCATGTTGATCATTCATGATCGAGGTGATCAGTTTGCATTAGTGCAAGACTATGATTCGACCAGAGGAATTTGACGAATCAGGGATACAGTTGTGATCAGTCTGATCATTTATGATCGGGATGATCGCTGGGTATAAGGCAACAAGGATATCAAGAACGAGGTCTATATAAACATCCTGTCTCTACCGATATAACACTCTTCGTGATTTAACTGTCTAGCATAGCTAGTAGTTAGTTTGAATACATTCTCATACTCTTGAAGCTCAGACTACTCTAAGTCATAAACATAACTATCTTATTGTATTCCTTCCACAATAAGCTCTTGTTATACATTGTTCCTCTGCTCTAGGAAGCTAAACCCTTCCGAAGTGGCTTACACTAGTGAAGCTAGTCGGTATTGGGAAAGTGTTCCTAACAACGGTATGGTACGGTATTTACCTATGTGGTACCGTACCGTACCGTTGACATCGTTTTTAGTAGTTTTTTATGGTAGTAAAAGTTGCAGGTTGTAGCATTATTTGAACACTTTATAATATATTCTATATAAGTATAAATATAAGTTATAACTGTAAGGGATTAGTAATAGAAGTGTGAGATAGATGGTTGTTATTCAAGAATATCCGCTAGCTCCTGGGAGTCTCTCTTCTGAGTTGCCTTGAAGAAATATGTGTCACAGTGAGTTCCAGTGACTGACCAGCCTAAGCTAGGCAGTGCGTAAGATTGCTGATGTGCAGCGTTCAAGGAAGCAAAAGGAAGTGGAAAATAGTATAAATAGATATGCGTTTAATAAAAGTTTATTTTCATAATAATGTTATATATTATTATGTGTTATTTGTTGGTTGGTTTTCATAAAATACAATCTTTTGAGAGAGGAATCATGTGATGTTTCTGCAACCTTCTGGCTTGATCAGCAGATTTTTTATACCCCGCAGCCCTAAGTAACTAACTGAGCATTAGCCTTCAGCCTGATTAACATCTTCAGCGCGGGTTCCAGGCTTAAGCAGATTGTAATAGAACTCTAATACAACTTTACTGCTCTATACTTAACTTATTTCTACCTTAGTGGAGCGTTCATATTACAATGCGGCTCCTAAAGGCATCATCTGTTGGCAGCTTTAAGCTGGTTTACTTCCCTGATGACAGCACTCCTCCATATGCAATTCTCTCACATACCTGGAGCGAGGGCCAAGAAGTCACATACAGCGATCTAATGGCCGGTACTGGCAGAAAGAAGACTGGCTTTGCGAAGATCCGCTTCTGTGCGGACAGAGCGGCATATGATGGCTTTGCTTACTACTGGATAGATACCTGCTGTATTAATAAGTCTGACAGCGCAGAGCTTCAGACAGCGGTTAACTCAATGTTTCGATATTACCAACGCGCGAAGAAGTGCTACGTATATCTATCAGATGTCCAAGTGCCGGAAGAGGTTGCTGACCCCCAGGCTTTCCGAATACTATGGGAGGACAGCTTTCGACGTAGCAGATGGTTCACGCGAGGCTGGACGCTGCAGGAGCTATTAGCGCCGCCTATCGTGGAGTTCTTCTCCAAGAATGCGAAACTACTAGGCAGTAAGATATCATTAGAGCGAGAGATTCATGACATCACCAAGCTTCCCATCGAAGTCCTTAGAGGACAACGGAAGTTCTCCACTTTCAGCATAGAAGAACGACTGGAGTGGGTCGCTCCACGCACGACTACATTAAAGGAGGATAAAGTATATTGCCTTCTGGGGATATTTGGAGTATTCCTGCCCCTTATATATGGAGAAGGTGAAGAGCACGCGAAATACCGGCTGAGAGAGGAGATAGCGAAACGGCAGGAAAGACGAGGCCTAGAGCATCTGCAGGACTTAACAGGTATAGGCTTAAGCGTAGTGTTCCACCTCACGGCGCCAGGAGCTAACCATATATAGTTGCCTTGCCACTACCCTTTCCACGAAATGAACAATTCGTCGGACGAGAAGAAGAACTCAGGATTCTTGAACATTTCCTCCTCCCGAATACCCACCAACGTTTGACTGTATATGGACTGGGCGGGTGTGGGAAATCCGCACTTGTACTTGAGTTTGCATACCGCACACTCGCCCGACATCCTGGATACCTTATCTTCTGGGTGCCTGCTATTAGCAAAGAAACCTTTGAGCTTGCATATCTCGAAATCGGAACACTGCTTAATATGCCGGGCTTGGGTGACGATAATGCAGATATCAAGCGGCTGGTTAAAGAGACGTTAAGCTTAAATAAGCGAAATTGGCTGATGATTGTGGACAATGCGGATGATACTGAGATACTGATGAGCGGTAAAACTCGACTACTGGATTACATTCCGTATGATAGTGGCAAGATCATCTTCACATCGCGAAGCAGGAAAGCGGCTACTGTTTTAGCCCCGGCAAAAACCCTGGAGTTGCAGGATATGGGCGGGCTGGAAGCACGGCAGCTGTTTGAGCGGCGCATCTCGAAACGGGCATTGCTCACCGATGGAAGAGCTGTGGATGAGCTGCTTGAGAAACTTGCTTATCATGCACTTGCTATTGTGCAGGCTGCGGCTTTTATAAATAGTAATGAGACCTCGGTTACAGCATATATCTTATTGATGCGAGATACGGAGATAGGCGCTTTTGGCGAGAGTTTTGAAGACCCAGGTAGATACCGCGAAATGGACAGCACGATTGCTAAAACATGGTATATCTCATTTAATCAGATTTAAAAGGAAGACCCACTTGCTGCGGAGTACCTCTCTTTTATATCATGTATAGATCGAAGCAATATCCCAAAGTCACTATTACCTGTAAAAGGGTCTCCACTGCAGCAATTGAAAGCGATCGGGATGCTGAAAGGATATGTATTTATTACAGAGCGGTAACAGGCTCTACCTGGGCTAGGCGGTGAGGTGTGTTTTGATATGCACCGGTTGGTCCATATGATGTCAGCGAAATGGCTGGAGGACCATGATGAAAAGAAGGGTTGGATAGTTAAAGCCGTGGAGAGGCTTAAGGAGGTTTTGCCGTACGGGGGGCACAAGGAGAAGGAGACCTGGTCGATGTACCTTCCGCACGCAATCCACTTGGCCACTTTAGAGACAACAGTGGATGATGCGGCAAGAGCGTCGTTTTTTGAGCGGATCGGATATTGCCGATCGACGCTGGGGCAGTACTGGGAGGCAGGAGCGATGCATCGGCAAGCGCTGGTGTTAAGAGAAAGAAGTATGGGCAATAAGAATATTTTGACGCTGAGCAAGAACAACTTCGCGGTAGCACTAGGCAATCAAGGCAAGTACGCAGAGGCGGAATCAATGCACAGACAGACACTGGCAACCAGTGAGAAGGTGCTTGGTGTTGACCATCCAGACACGCTGACGACCATGAACAACTTGGCGGGAGTTCTGGGGCGCCAAGGCAAATACGCGGAGGCGGAATCGATGCACAGGCAGACGCTGGCAACCAGTGAGAAGGTGCTTGGTGTCGACCATCCAGACACGCTGACAAGTATCTACTGCCTTGCTTATCTTCTCGCAAAGCAACATCACTACGCCGAATCTGTTGATTTGTATAAGAGAGCATATACTAGGTACAGCTCTATCCTTGGGGAGGACCATCCCACCACACGTGCGTGTCTCCAACATTATTCTGCACTCCTTGCTTCGCGGGAGCAGTCTCTTCGTACAGAACAAGCCATCTGCGCCGAAAGCGGGGCTTCTGGCAAGACATCAAAGCTGTCACGTGCTCAGGGCAAGCTGGGCATTAGGAACTCGAAATTTTTCTAATATCTATGAATCATAGCTTAGAAGAGCGCGTATGATAGAGATATTCTCTTTTTGCAAGACTGGCTCAGGTATGGGTATCATGAAGCTTCGCCATGCCACATTATTCTAATACTAGTAACTTGCTTATTTGACTTTACTCACTGCTTTTATGTTCTTTTAGAGATATTGAAGGGTTTTAGTGATCTTCTTCTAGCTACTTTTATCTCTACATATAGCTGGACTATCCTTTTTCTAAAATGGAAATGTGAAGTGTCTTTTTATCTTAGCAAGGGCAGCTCGTTTGCCTTTGGAGGTTCTTAAGACTATATCTGTATCTAGATCTCTATCTTATTCTATTGATTGTCATTCACTGAAAGGTTGCTTGACGATATCTAATATTTGCGTTTTAATACTGGTAGGCTTTAATGACTCCTGGGATCGGGTGAACGCTATGCACATAAATATACTGAGTAATATGGCTTTTAAAGAAGTAGTTTTCGATCTTGAAGTAGAAAGGGGGGAGGAATATTTGAATATTATTTGGGATGTTTTTTGAAAACAAAAGCACTTATTATTGTTATGCTCTGCTTTAAATTAAGTTAGTAATTACAGGGATTGC